AATTTAATCCCCAATATTCATTTTTGAAGGTTATTCATTAAATGAATTTGCATTTTCAAAGTGATTCATCAAACAATAATGTTTATGGTTGTGAAAATAGTCATGCTATTTGCAGAATTATTCAGAATTCTTTGACCATACATAAAATTCAATCAGCACTTTTGTAAATTCAGATTACATAAACACTTCCAAGTTTCAGTCCAAAAACACAAAATGGTTTTATAGAGTAATTCTTCATTTAAAATTAAAGCCATTATTTGTTTTAGCAATTGAAAGTCATATTATTTTTTTTTGCTATGAATAAAACCTGACTTGAAAACTTAAAAAGCAGGTTTAATTCCCAATTTAACAATAAATATTGCATGCAATAAGACTCTAACAAAGCTTCTAGGTTAGTATTAAAATGACCACTAGTTAGCAAATTACCTAGCAAAAAAAGATTTGACAGTGAATTACTAGGTCTGACATGTTCATGCTACAGCAGACTATGTTCAGAGCTTTAAAAATGAAGTAAAACTGAGAGACAGTTCAAGATCTTCTCCACCCCAGGCATCCATTTCTCTTCCAAGTAGTTTCTGGGGAAGGAACCCAGGGATGATCTACCACTGAGCTACTATCCCACTCAGGTTGTAATATGCTCTTTGCTCCATGTTTAACAGCTTTTTTTTTTTGGTGCCAGCCATGGCAATAAAGGTGGAGTCGAGGCCTTGAGGGACTGCAGAAAAAAATTAGTACATTGATGTTTCATTTTATTCTGAAATAATATCTGGGTGCTTTGGAAAATTACGGACAAGAGAAATTTCTGATCTGGAATGGAAGATATTGTGACCCTCTAACTCTCTAATTTTTCCCCCTAGGGTTATAGTGTTTCATTAAATCAAGAATCATTTATTCGGCTTCTTTTGGAAGCTTGAATGTTCCCATCTGGTGGTGGAGGAGAGTGGTAGAGCAGTAGGGTCCTGGTAATGAGTATGTCCTTCCATCAAGAGTACCCTGAGAGGGCTGGGGATGTGGCTCAAGCGGTAGCGCGCTCGCCTGGCATGCGTGCGGCCCGGGTTCGATCCTCAGCACCACATACAAACAAAGATGTTGTGTCCGCCGAGAACTAAAAAATAAATATTAAAAATTCTCTCTCTCTCTCTCCCTCCCTCCCTCTCTCTTTAAAAAAAAAAAAAAAGAGTACCCTGAGAGGAGAGCTACCTCTTCCCCTAGGGTGGAGAACATGTTTCCTCCACCATTCTGGTGGTTCTTAAAAGATGGGGGCCATAACAACTCCATCAGCCTGGGTAGTCCAGGGCCTTCTTGTGCTTTGCTGTCTGTACACTGGAATACTTAAGTTTGGACAGGGTGACTTCTATGGTGTTGCACTCCCCTGTGCCCAGAGACATTGTAAACATGCCTGTTTATCCTTCTTTTGTGTTCTATGCTCCATGTCTTCATAATAAAAATAAAGAAACCTGTTTCCCACTGTACATAATATCTGCTGTACCTATTACATGTTGCTACTTTGAAATGGAAGTGATGGAAAACTTAGGATATAAGTTGGGGAAATGAGGTATTAGAGTTATAACTAGGATCTTGTCTGGGAAGAAGGCAAGCAGGCTTTGAATCACTACTCAAGGATATTCATCTTCTTCCCATCTTGTCTTTTACTGGCCTTTTGGAGGGCCAGATTCTACCAGCTGCTTCCTATTTTTGTGCTATAAAATAGCTGTCCTCTGTACTGAAGTGTTCAAGTTTATTCTGAGGAAAGAAAATCTTCAGTTTGAACATATGTAATGATTAATCACTTAAAAATAATTTATTTCCTTGATATTTCTCTTAACAATATGAGAAGCCACATCTTGACACTTTGGAATGCCACCCACTTCAGTGGTTGGCTCTCTACTGTTGCTAAAATCATTGTTTTTCCAGTTTTGTGTCTTTTCTTTCCTCATTACTGTCATGCAATAGCCACAAGTTTCTTCACCAACTTTTATTTTTTAAAAAAATAATTTTAATTGATTTTTTTAAAAATAAATGATAGCGGAATGCATTACAATTCTTATTACACATATAGAGCACAATTTTTCATATCTCTTTTTGTATATAAAGTATGTTGATACCAATTCGTGTCCTCATACATGTACTTTGGATAATGATGTCCATCACATTCCACCGCCCTTGCCCCTTCCCCTCCCTTCCCCTCCCATCACTCTGCCCTATCTAGAGTTCCTCTATTCCTCCCATGCTCCCCCTCCTTACCCCACTATGAGTCAGCCTCCTTATAGCAGAGAAAACATTCGGCATTTGATTTTTGGGGATTGGCTAGCTTCACTTAGCATCATCCTTTCCAAAGTCACCCATTTACCTGCAAATGCCATGATTTTATTCTCTTTTATTACTGAGTAATATTCCATTGTTTTCACCCATTTTCATAAAAGACATTGACTAAGTCTATCTTTCCTCCCCAACTTCTGCTTTTCTCCTGTAAGTTGCCCGCCATAACCCCCATATCCACATGTACTGCATCTACAGATTCAGCAAACCATGGATCAAAAATATTTTTAAAGACTGTATCTATATTGAACATGAACAGACTTTTTTCTTGTCATCATTCCCTAAATAATGCATCAAAACAACAATTTACTTTGTATTAGGCATCATAAATAATCTAGACATGATTTAAAGTATATGGAAGACATGCATGGGTTACATGCAAATGCTATGCCAGTTTATATAAGGTGCTTGAATCTTGCAGGTTTTGCTATGTGGGAAGGGGATCCTGGAACTCATTCTTCAAGGATGCTAAGGATGACAATCTAGTTCATTCATGTTATTGCTCCATTCAATGCCCTTGTTTAATGGTCCTTTTCCTCCTTCAATAAAAGTGATATATTCTCCATCTAGTCCAGGCTATATATATCCTGGGTCACCTAAGAAATATACCACCTCTGAAGTCTTATATTTTAGTATCTTTCTTTACACCCATCTTCATTCCTTCCCTCCACATTCCTACTTTTATATCTCATGATAACCTCTAGGGCTTTAATCTGTCTTTAATTGTTCAGAACCCTCCCATCTTTTCTGCCCTTTGACACTTGGATGTCAGGCAGTGCCATGACTCTCCAGTACTCCTATTTCTCTGCTGTACCTTCTTGACAACGGGATGAAAGGGTGTCTGGACTGCTGAGAGTCTCTGGAGAAACAGCCCGATTTGAGTAGTTCTGCACCCCTTCTCACTCCTTTTGATAACAGAAGGCTCCCTCCTTTCAAGAGTCAGCACTCCTGCTTTGCTCTTGTTCCCACATAGTACTTCATTTCATGGATCATTCCTTGTTTTTTCTCTCAACTGACTCCTCCTCTCCCTATGAGGCAGGTAAGATTGTTACTTCAGTTTTACAGATGAGGAAACGAAGGTTCGGAAGAATTCCAAGGCTGTCTCACAACTGGTAAATGACCCAGCCAGGAATCTGAATTCAGATCTCTCCTTCTCCCAGTCTCCTCCCCACATTCTTTCTGCTCTCTGAAGTTTACCCACATGTTCTTCCCTGCTTTCCCCTCCATCTACTGCCATCACCCCCCATAAACTTCCTTCCATCCCAATCTCCTCAGAATCATGGTGGTTTTATTTCAGTGCCCACTTTTCCCCTGCGCTGAAGTTGGTTGACTAATGTCTGTGTATCCTCTAAATTTTAAGTTCCATAAAGGCAAAGATCATATGAAGCTCAGCATTGTATTTCTAGAGCCTGAAGAAAGAAAACACTCTGGCTAAAGCAGTTTTCAGCAATCCACATATTACTGAGGCAAGTTCTTTGCTCTCCTTGACCCATCAGAGGATTCAACATTGCCAATTACTGCAGCCTTCTTCATACTCTCTCCTCCCCTTGCTTTGGTACAGATAATCTCCTTATTTTCTTTCTGCCTCTGTCTCCTACATACAAATCCAGGATTCTGATTTCTCTTACATTGGCTACCCTTCTCCATCTCTGCCATCACTAGTTAGGTTCAGGCCACTGTTTTCTCTTCTGGAGGACTGGAACAGCCTCTTAAATGCTCTTCGCCCTGGGGCCCGTCTCCCTCCAATTGGCATTTTACTAATAACAGCAGGGTGATCACTGTGAACACAAATCCAATCTTGCTACATTCCTACTTTGAATTCTTAAATGATTACCTACTGCCTGGAGTAAAATCTCGAACTCCCTTATAATGACAGATAAGTCTTTCATCATGTGGCCTCTGACTACCCATCAAAGACTCATTTTCTTCTGTGGCCCTATACACCTGCCAAGCTAGGGACACTACTAGTGAGTGTCCAGGTCAGCTGTCTTTAGTTATTCCTCTACACCTTTCCCTAAGTTCTTCCTTTGCCTAGAATGAGTTTTCTTTTCTCCATCTCCTTTTCACCCAGGGAACACCTTATTATTCTTCAAATACAACTCAAACTCACCTTCTCTGTGAGGTGTTCCTAGTTTGGGTGAGTATCTCCTCCTCTACATTTTCACAGAATTTTGAACACAAAACTATTATTAATATTGCATCTCTACAGCTTGATAGATTGGAACCTTCCTCTAGGGGGAAACAGACTTTTTCTTTACAATCATAGAGTCAGCTTAATAAACATGTGCTGAATGAACGAATGAAACATGCAGAGGGAAAGGGAGAAAACAGAAGTCAGAGATGGAAGCTTGTTTTGCAGCACGTTACTGTATAACTCAGAGTGGCAATTTTTTAGAAAATGGCTCTAAGACTCTCAAAGATTAATGCATGGGGCTGGGGCTGTAGTTCAGTGGTAGAGCGCTTGCCTGGCTTGTGTGAGGCGCTGGATTTGATTCTCAGAACCACATAAAAATAAATAAATAAAATAAAGACATTGCATTCATCTACAACTAAAAAATTATTTTAAAAAAAGATCAATGCAGATAGCCAAGCCAAAATATAACAGGTATGACTAATTCACATAAATGCCATCCCCTCATTGGACAGTGAGAGAGATTTTAGGACCCACAAGTCCCAGAGAATCAGCCAGGAAGCTCTCTATGTGAGGGTGGGGACTGGAGCTTCTCAGTGGGGACTTGTTGCTGTGTCCTTTGGAACAGAGTTGCTAGATGCTCTCTGATTTCCTTGGTTCTGGCCCCATAGATGATGGGGTTCACTAGACAGGGCAGCAATAGATAGAAGGCACTGAGCAGGTTGTGCACATCCTCAGAGGCAGTACGGGCCACACGGTAGACAATGGATGAGGACATGGTGGAGGAGTAGATGGTGAAGATGACTAGCAGGTGGGAGCCACAGGTGTTCAGGGCCTTGGCACGGGCTCCACCTGATGAAATCCTAAAGGCAGCATGGATGATGCGGGTGTAGGAGGCTACTAGTAGAAGCATGTCCAGGACCCTGTTGAAGATGCGGATGGTGAGTCCCACAGTCTTGTTCAGTGAAACATCCCCACAGGAGAGCTTCATCAGGGCCATGTGCTCACAGGCAAAGTGGTGGATCACATCTGAGCGGCAGAAGCAGACCCGTGAGGCCAGTCCCACCACTGGAGCAACAAGGCACGTGCTCCTGGCCGCTGCCACCCCCACCAGGCCAGCTAGAAACTGTCTTGTCACTATCTCTGGGTAGCGGAGAGGGTGGCAGATGGCAACATAGCGGTCTAGGGCCATGACCAGGAGGATGTTGCAGTCAAAGACAATGAGGAAGTAGATGCAGAACATCTGGATTAGACAGCGAGCCAGGGAGATGCGGTTGAAGTGTGTGGAGAAGCTGAAGAGCATGGGGGGCACCACGGTGGTGGCAGCACAGATGTTGACAGCCAGGAGCAGGGCAATGAGCAGGTACATGGGCTGGTGTAGGCTCCGCTGAGACACCACTGTGTGGATGACCAGTGCATTGGCAGAGAAGATCACCAGGTAGAGGCTAAGGAAGGGCAGTACCAGAAGGGTACGGGAGTCCTGCAGTCCTGGGAAGCCCACCAGGAAGAAGCTGGTGTAGGACCCATTGGAGCTGCCATTGCTCCACCCGGACATCTTCCCTGAGGGAGCAGGATGGCTCCTGGAGAGGGGAGGAGTCGTCCTGGTGTCAGAACCCACCTCTCCCTGCCCTGGCCTCACCAGGCTGCCCTGGGTACTTTGTCCTCCATGAACACAGTGTTTCTATAGATAAAGAGTTGTTTGTTAATATTTAGTGAGGTGCTTCAAGAAATAACCACCTTCCATAGCCCCTACTTTGTAATTTTTCTTTTCTTTCTTTTAAATATTTTTTAGTTGTTGATGCACCTTTATTTGATTTATTTATATGCAGTGCTGAGAATCGAACCCAGTGCCTCACACAAGCCAGGAAAGTGCCCTACCGCTGAGCCCCAGCCCCAGTCCGGTTTTTCTTTTAATTTTCTATAAAAATCCTTCATTTTTTTCCCCTAATGAACCCATATTGAGGGCCTATTTTGTGCTAGTTCCTATGCTAGGGGCTTGGGATACAAAATGAATAGCTGACTGTCTCTGTTTTGAGTGAGCTCACATTGTACAGAGCAAGCATGAAATGACAATTTCTTTCAAATTGACATTACACACTATTTGATGATCTATTGTAGGATCTAAGATTTTGTAGGGATTAACTTTGAATTGCCATTATCCATCTTTCTTTCATTTTGGTGAATTGATATTCTTGTCAATTGCTACTCTTTTCCAATTCATCAAAGAATATTTTGAGGAAACTATAAAACCATTTGCTTGTTCTTTCCATATCTGAAACTTAGTCAGATGTTCTTCTATGGTCTCTTCCCCATCTGTAGTTTGATTTTCTTTTCAATTATGTTTTTTTTCTATTTTCCATGGTTTTATAATATTTCATGTAATACAAAAGAATAAAAATGGGAAATTATCAGTTTTTCTCTGTCATCTTTTATTACTGTACCATCTGACCAAGCCATACAGAGCCCCGTTTCCTTGATCCTTTTTCTCCTCCCCTGCTTCTTTTTGGAGCAATCACCTAATAATTCTTTTCTCCTGAGCTCTGGTTGTTCAACAGCTATACCTTCAGGAATGTGGACCTCTTAATCCTGGGATCCATCCTAGGCTGACCCCAAAATGTGAAAGAAGAAAAGGGTATGGAGAGGAGATTCTGGGACTTAGACTATGATAAGTGGACCTGATTGAGGCCTGATATTATCACAGAAAAGTCTGGGGGAATGTCAAGGAGGGCAGGGACTGTTCATATCTCAAGCTACTTAGAGATAGAGAGTTTTTAGGGACAGGAAGAGGGAAAATTGATTATCCCTCTTCTTCTTTGTCCTCCACTGGGATCATAGGATCCAAGAACCAAGGCATCAGAGACCTACAGAGTCCAAAATTTTTGGACATCAGTGGAGGACTGCTTCTCAGGAGGATAGAATTCAGCCCTTCAGCAGGATTGTGAGTCCCTGCAATGTGAGGGTGGGGACACCCAGCACTTTTTCCTTCCCTCTAATGTTGGGAAGGTAAAGCGGTTTTTTGGCAGTCCATACTGTTTGGGGGGACCCATCCTTTCCTAAAACAGCCCATCATATCACATCCGAGTGTGAACAGGGCCTACTCTCAGGAAGTACTCTCTGTTGAGCCACCATCATACTCTCTGAATATTTACTGCACTGTTCCTGATTGTGCTTCCTGGAGCCACACAGAGCCTATCTTATCTACAAAACCTAGTCCTTTAGAGAGAGATTTACACGGGACAAGCATTTGGGTTGGCTTAAAGGTTTTGACAAGATAGGCTGCTGAATGCTTTCTGTTTCATCTCACAGAAGGCAGCCCAAGGCAGAGCTGACACTGACATGGGGAGGTGAAACCACTTCATTGTGATTCCTGTTCCTGCCCTTGCTTGTGCAAATCTGGGCAAAGGACTTATGCAACCCTCAGGTGTAAAATGGGAATGGCAATATTGGCCTTGTAGGGTGACAGAGAAGATTAAATTGCTGAAAACTGTAAAGTGAATGAACAGAATCAGTGCCTCTCCCTGGGTCCATTTGGAAGGGAAAGGAAGTGAGCCCAGGGCCAGCCTCAAGCCCTGGACCTGGGAAGGGAAATTGGAGAGAGAGAGGTGGTTGTTACCTTTGTCAGTGGACTTAGGGATGCATGTGAAGATTTTTCTTCATTATACTGCTGAGTTTGTAGAAGTAGATTTTTCACAATCTCAGTTTCCATGTGACTAGAAAAGGGAAGGTTCAGTCTTAGATCTATTCCTCACTCAAAGTGAGATCCTTCAGGGCACTAGCAGAGTTGCCCTGTACTAATAGTGTCCCTATTCTGATAGAACCCCAAGTCCTCAGGCACAGAGTTGACTGGGTGAATGAGTCTGTGTCAATGCGCAGAAGGGGGCATGAGCAGAGGAGCACAGGTTGATTGAGAGTCACTTTTGAGCTACTGATGGGCATCTGGAGAAGACTAGGATTTGCTTATCTGCACAGAAAAGGAAAAGGAATAAGTGGAACTCATCTGTCAAACATGGCTCTGGATTAGACTTAGAAGATGGTTTAGGAGACATTTCCAGTTTCAGAGGCCTTCAAACCCTGAGGTAGAAGCTGGGAATAAGGATACATAGGTCATTCCCTTTCCCCTGGACTTGAGGAGGTGAAGTACTTAGCCAGAGGAATAGGGGTGAAGGGATGGCCTTTGCCCCTACTTCTTGGGCTTAACTTTGACCTTATTGCCTCCCAGCTGGAAGCCTCTCCCAAGCTTCCTGCCTGGCCAAACACAAACTCTCCTACTTACCACGACTTACACAGGCACAAGTAAGGACAGGTCAAGTCATACCCGGGTTCTCTGAGTGAGTTAAATTCTTCCCATTCCTCCCTGAGGTAACATCAAGAATTTCCTGTTATTTCTCCTATGCTCTGACTTAGGCAATTAGCAGGGCCCCAGGGGCAGTAGAATGAGAGTATGGCCCACAGAGCCCTGGGGGCTGGAGGAACAGTTGGAGAAACATGAGGGTGCTAGTTTTTGGGGAAGTTAAGATCCCTACAGAAAGTAGTTCTCTATATCCCCCCCCCTTTGACCCTTTCCTCATCCATGAGGGTCAATGACCTTTGAACCCTAATGACCCCATTTCTTTATATCCAAGTCTCTTCTTTTTACCTCAGACCAGTTTAACTGCTTACTGGAAATTTCCACCTGAATGATCCATAGGAAACTCAAGTTGAATCAAGCTCTGCTTTGAACTTATGCCATTATTATTTTTTTTTTAAAGAGAGAACTTTTTATATTTATTTTTTAGTTTTCGGTGGACACAACATCTTTGTTTGTATGTGGTGCTGAGGATCGAATCCGGGCCGCACGCATGCCAGGCGAGCGCGCCACTGCTTGAGCCACATCCCCAGCCCACTTATGCCATTGTTTAAAAATGTTGTCATTCCTCTGTGTTCCCTATGTTGGAAAAGCTATCTCTTCCCCATATCTTCAAGGGCTGGGTGGAGACTGAGAAAAGACCAACAACCAACAGTTAGGGTTGGGGAAAGGCATCCAAGGTCTCATTCTTCATATGTGGTTCCTTGCCAAGTGCTGCCCAGCCTTTTTTTTTTTTTTGGCAATATGTTTCTCATCTCTATTCCCTCCACCACTAATAACACCTGTTCTTGGTAATATTTCTAGTTTGACTATATGATTATTGTGACTGTCTTCTAGATGATGTCTTTTCTCTGTCTCACAGTAGGTGAGAGCACATTTATTGGACTTTATTTTTCTTAGCATTTGCTAAATCGATAGAGGAAAAATAGAAGTTTTTTGGTTCTTTGTGTTGACCATCAATTTCTTATGTTGGTAACTTGTTTCTCTCTCTCTCTCTCTCTCTCTCTGTGGTGTTTGTGTGTGTGTGTGTGTGTGTGTGTGTGTATGAGAGAGAGAGAGAGAGAGAGAGCGAGACTATTTATTATAAATTATTAAATGAACCTTAGTGTTCTGCTTGTTTAACTTCCCTCTGGGTTAAATTTCTCCATGATAAAACCCATGCTCTCCATCAGGGCAGTGGGTATCACTGTGCTTGGTGCCTGGTTCTCCAGAAGTGCTTCCCATTAGTGTTCCTATCATAACACTAATACCTACCATGCCATATTATTGTGATTTAAAACATACAGGCATGTTGCCAGATCCTTCTATGCAATACATTCTTGGGTAATTTTTACAACAACCTAAATGGATAGGCTTCAGCTTTTGCATTTGGCAATTGAGGTAGTGAAGTCCACATTGATGTATTTAAAATTTCCTGGTGAATCTGATTGTTTCATACACAAGACTTCTTATAGGACCCTGCATATTGAATATGACGCTTTTGGCTAGGAGGGGAGGCAAGGGATGAGTACAGAGGGAGACCTAGAGAATCCAAAGGGTCTTCACTAAATAAACAGTCATCCTAGTGCAGTTCTTGAGCTGGGCAGGGACTAAGCCCAGGCCCCAAGAAGGAACAACCAGAGGGGCATCTCAAATCCCACTCTTGGACATCTACTCATACATCAAAGATAGAGGGAAGTCTCAAAACAAAAAGGATAACGACACACAAAAGGACACACATTTAAAAGAGGAAGGGGAATCCATCTTCATGAATGCATAGTCCAAGACCTCTGAATACACGAGGAAATAGGCAAATAAATCTCCCGCTTTGGGAATATGAATTTTGATTCATATTCCCCCAATAAGGGTCCCACAGATATGGAAGTGGATGAAATTCTGGAGAAAGACTATAAAAAACTGATTATTAAAATGTTCAGTAAACTAACAGATGATTGAAGGACAAATTAAAAGAGCAAATAGGATATGAAATACCATTTCAATAAATAAATAGAGATAATGAAAAGAAACCAATTAGAACCCCTGGAAATGAATCAACTTAAATGAATCAAAGTAAAAAATTCACTGGACAACATCACCAACAGATTAGATTGCGTAGCAAATAGATATAACTTTAGTTATTGAAGACAGGTTATATAAACTTGAATACTCAGAATGCAATAAAGAAAAAAAATATGATCAGAATATACAAGAACTCTGGGAGAGCATCAAGA